CTGGGTAGGACAACCATTTTAATAGCGTTTATACGACCAACCAAGGAAATAGGCAGAGTTTTCCAGAAATCGATATTTTGTTTAAGCTGATCTATTTTCATGTCCCAATTCACTTTCAATAGCTGGTCAAGGTCTCTTGTCACTACAATGCCAAGGCTTGTGAACTTGTCTCTCACTGTTCTAAGCGGGGTAGATTGCAGAAATTGCATATCCACAGGCCGTGATATTGGCATCATCTCACTTTTTTGCCAGTTTATCTTGTAGCCAGAGAAGGAGCCGAATGTGTTTATCAAGTTAAGTAATGGTGGAATAGACGTTTTAGGCTTGGACAAAAACAAAAGAACATCGTCTGCATATAGGGAAATTTTGTGCTGTGTGTCTTTTATTTTAACAGAAGCTATATCGGCACATGCCCGAATGCGCGTAGCAAGGGGTTCCATGGCTATAGCGAAGAGAGCAGGCGAAATAGGGCACCCCTGTCGGCACCCCTTGAACAGGCGGAATGACTGCGACATTTCCTGATTGGTCACCACGGACGCCATTGGGTGTGCATAAATAATTCTTATCCAATTAATAAATTCCTTTCCAAATCCGAAATGCTCCAGAACCGACATCATATACTTCCACTCAATCTGATCAAACGCCTTCTCTGCATCAAGAGCTATTACCACTGCCTCAACTTTATGATCATGATACATTACGTTGAAAAGGCGTCTCAAATTGTAGTATATATGTTGGCCCGGGATAAAACCTGTCTGGTCAGGGTGTATGATGTCGGAAATATATTTTTTCAATCGGTTTGCCAATATCTTTGTCAACACCTTGTTTTCTATGGGGAGTAACGACACGGGGCGATACGACGACATCTCCATGGAATCATGGTCAGGGCTATTTCAAGATCAGGGCTATTGTAGCCTCATACAGTGTTTGCGGGAGTTTGGTATTTTCTTTGGATTGTTGAAACATTCGCAGCATAAGTGGAGATAGACTAGCGCAGTACTTCTTATAGAATTCTATTACATATCCATCGGGCCCAGGGGCCTTGCTGTTTGGAAATTGTGCTATCGCTGTGTTAATTTCATCTAAGGTTATCCCTGCATCGAGTGCGGCAGCTGCCCCCCTGTCTAGTTTAGGAAGTTCACAATCAGCGAGAAAGCGTTCCATAGTTTGTGGATCAGTAGCATCGCATTTTGATTGGTATAGCTCTGAGTAAAACTGTGCAAAGCATTTATTAATGTCCTGCGGATCTGTTACTATTTTACCCTTCTTGTCTTTTATTTTGTGAATAGCTCTAGATGCTTGTACATGCCTTAGCTGTCTTGCTAATAATTTATGTGGTTTGTCCCCCAGTTCAAAATAACTTTGTTGCGTTCTAGCAAGTAAAGAGCCCACCCGTTTCGAAAGGATGGTATTGTATTCATACTTTAACTTTGTGATCTTCTCAAGGACTGTATACGAGGAATTTGTCCTAAAAACGTTCTCCTGTTCCCCTAACTCTCTTTCAATTTCTCTCAGCCTAGTATTGGCACGTTTCTTCCTCTCTGATGTATAAGAAATAATGTAACCTCTAATCACAGCCTTTAGAGATTCCCAAAGGGTGGAGTCGTCAACATCCCCCGTGTCGTTAGTACTGAGGAAAAAGGCAATCTGCTCCTCCAAATACTGACAGAAAGCCTCATCTTTCAACAGGTATGCGTCTAAGCGCCACGGTCGCCGACCTGTCGACATATTGTCGAGTTTCAGCACCATGGACAGAGGAGAGTGGTCCGTAATTAGAATGGGGTGATAGGTAACCGACTCAGCTGCTGAGATTAGTTTGGAGTCCAACAAAAAATAGTCAATTCTGGAATATGATTTATGAACTGATGAGAAGAAAGAATAATCCCTGTCTGTTGGGTGCGTCAGTCTCCAAATATCGACAATGTTAAGGTTTGTCATCAATGTATTTAGACAGACACTGGCATTTGATTGTTGAAGTGACCTTGATAGCTGTTTATCTAAAAGAGGGTCTAACGTACAGTTAAAGTCACCTCCAACAATAACACTTGTATCCGAGATATTTGGTATGGCCTTAAATACCCTTTGAAAAAATACTGGATCATCGAAGTTGGGTCCATATAAATTGACCAAGGTTATTGGTTTTGAATTCAGTGTACCAGCCACAATAATATACCGACCATTAGGATCTGAAATCGAGGTTGAGTAAACAAAAGGAATGTTTTTTCCTTATCAGGATTGCTACCCCTCTCGCTTTTGCATCAAAGTTAGACTGGTATATCTGACCGATCCAGCCGACTCGTAGCTTGGCCTGCGCGGGGCGTTTAATATGAGTTTCTTGAAGAAGCACTATGTCAGCACCCAGTGATTTAAGATGAGAAAAAACCTTAGCTCGTTTCACGACATGCCCTAATCCATTACAGTTCCAGCTGACTATCTTTATTCCACCTGGTCTACTCTGTGCTCGGTCACTATGTGGCATTTCTTATTTTAAAGCAAATTGCTGCTGTCATACAAAACCCAGAAGAAAAACGTCCCGCCGTGCGGGAGCTTGTCATGCCACCTGTACTAATAAACGTGAACATAAAACACAGACCCCAACCCCCCTCCCGTCCCTTTACTGAGTGACTTCCCCAAACGAAGCACTTCTTGGCTAACACACAAACGTTAGGGTGTCTAGACATAAAGCTTGAACTAACTCGTCGTCTATAGATGCTCCGCATATAAACTAGTATTAAATAACACTTAACTTAACTCTCATGTTAGGGGGTGAGTGGCGCTAAAACATGACATGCCAAACAATGCTATATTAGCCACAACATCTCACCTATCCTATAAGTCCCAATTTCTGATCTTCTGATCGAAAAGACATAGGCCGGAAATTCAATTCACACACATTCCTGGCCTGTATTTGGCCATTTAGCCTGCTGGCACAGCCGTTCTGTATCCTCAGCCGGGGAGCTTGCTTGTCAAGAACAGATCTGCCTCTTTTGCGTTGTCAAACGTACGTGTTGATCCCTCGACTGTCACCTTAAACCGGGCTGGGAAGAGGAATCCATATCGGATGTTGGCCGCCCTGCATTTGTTGCGTACCTCATCATACTCTTTCCGTTGGTTCCTCACCTCCAAGGTAAGATCTGGGTAGAAAGACACCCTGGCTCCGTTGTAGTTAAGGGGGAACTTTTGACTAGCCAGCTTGAGGATGAGATCCCTGGTGTGGGGATAGTGCAGCCTTACAATGAATGGCCTTGGTGGCCCGCCCTTGACCGGCTTCGTTGCCTGTGCTCTGTGTGCGCGGTCGATCAGGATGGCCGTTTTGAAGTGTTCACTCCCCAGCAATGCCGGTATCAGCTCCGAGACAAATTCAGTGGGTTTCCCTTTCTCCGTGTCCTCCTGGATCCCACATATTCGGATGTTCTGGCGTCTTGAATGCGACTCGAGCATTTCCAGTCGGGCCTTCAGGGTTTTGTTGTCATTTTTGAGCGTTGCGCACTGTTTCTCTATGTCCTGTAGCCTGGTCTCGTGATCGATTGTTGTCTGCTCAACCTCGTGCACCCTTCCCTTAGTTGCCTTCACAGTTTCGGCCAAAGTCCCAATACTCTTTGAGATATCAGCCAACCTTGTGTCCACCTTCTTGCTTAGTGCGTTTATGGCAGCCAGTATGTCACTTTGAGTAGGATCTGTGGGGAACTCTTGTAAGCTAGCCTCTTCAGCTAGCTCCTCGTGGGTCGGCGACGTTGAAATTGGTTCGTTGTCTATCTCATTCCAATTATCTTGTTTAGCGCCCCCTTTTTTGTTGCCTTTTCCCTTTGTCATATTTGTTTGAAGTTATAGGTTGTGAGAGGTTAAGATAAATATTAATTTGTTTCAAAATTGAGCGGAGCTCTAGCAATGCACGTCTACTCCATAGCACGCTCTCTAGCGCCCCCCATTGCGAGCATCTTGACTGGCTGCATCACCGCTTGGTATGGCAACTGCTTGGCATCCGACCGCAAGGCGCTACAGAGGGAAATCTGTATGGCCCAGTACATCACTGGACCTCTATACCAGGCGGTGTCAGAAGAAGGCCCTAAATATTGTCAAAGATTCCAGCCACCCAAGTCATCGACTGTTCTCTCTGCTACCGCACGGCAAGCGTTACCGATGCACCAAGTCTGGAACCAACAGGACCCTGAACAGCTTCTACCCCCAAGCCATAAGAGTGCTAAATAGTTAAATAGTTAACCAAATAGCTATCTGTATTGACCCTTTTGTGACTCATCACATACGCTGCTGCTACTGTTTACTTTACTGTCACTTTATTCCTCGTTACATGGACATATTACGTCAATGACCTTGTACCCCTGCACATCGACTCGGTACTGGCACCCTTGTATATAGCCAAGTTATCGTATCTATATACTTATTACTTTTATTATTACGTGTTTTACTTTTCTATTGTTTCTCTATTTTCTTTCTCTCTGCATTGTTGGGAAGGGCCCGTAAGGAAGCATTTCACTGTTAGTCCACACCTGCTGTTTACAAAGCATGTGACGAATAACATTTGATTTGATTTTGATTTAAACACAGCAGGTACAATCTCAATTTTGTTAATTTTATTTTATTTTTCATGCACGGCTCAAAACACAAACAACATCCACAGATATCATACAACATATTACCTCCATCAAATTACAGGTACAGCGCAAGCAATTTGTTCAACATATTACAGCAGGTAGAGTGGGCCCAGTCCATGGTGGGGGTGCAGAGCTCAATTGGTAGAGCATGGCGCTTGTAACGCCAGGGTAGTGGGTTCGATCCCCGGGACCACCCATACGTAAAAATGTATGCACACATGACTGTACGTCGCTTTGGATAAAAGCGTCTGCTAAATGGCATATTATTATTTATTATAACATAGACCTCAGCACTCAGTGGTACAAAAGTAATATCTTTGAACACAGACCGTGGAACCCAGAACTCTGTGGTGTAGAGCTGGGACACAGTGCAGCAGAAGGGAGATGTCAGAAGCTAGGGCTGTGGTGAGGAACCTTCAGGCCCCAGAGTAGGAACCCCAGCATGAGGAAGAAAGAGAGAGCCAGGAGGAGCAGTAGCACCAGCACCCAGCGACAGTAAGACAGCCAGGAAGCTAGGGGATGCTGCTCTGACAGAACCACTGGCCTGGAGGGAAACAAGCAGATTCAAATCATGACCTCAGTAAATGTACATGCTATGGCCAGATTTATCATCATTATCCCACATCATCATTATCCCACAGTTATCCCATTATCCCACGTCATCATTATCACTATTACATTTTACATTTACATTTTAGACATTTAGCAGACACTCTTATCCAGAGCGACTTACAGTTAGTGAGTGCATACATTTTGGCCCCCCATGGGAAACGAACCCACAACCCTGGCGTTGCAAGCGCCATGCTCTACCAACTGAGCTACAGGGGACTATTGCCTTCAACATACACACTTTCTAGCATGGCCAGATAATGACAACCATCTGCTATATCAGATTACTAATATGAAGTTGTAAGTCATCTTAGTACATTTTAGTACGATTTAATAGCAACTTAATAACATCTTAATAATGTTAAGTAATCTTAATACTCACGGTTCTGAGGTGCAGACTGATTCGGCCATAGAGAGCTCACTGGGCTCGGCTGTGCCAGCTATTGACCCTGCTCTTGACCCCGTTGCTGACTCCACCCCTGAACCCTCGGCTTCGGCCTCCTCTGAACTGGCCTCACGCTCCAGGATGGCAGACCTCCGCCTGTGATGTAGCGTCATCTGTAGGGAACTGACACACACAGACACAGGCAGCCACACAGCATTAGAGGAAGGGAAAGCCCTGCATCAGCCACACCTGAACCTTGCTCAGGTCCTTATTCAAATCTCAATGAGACAATGGTGAACCAGTTGATGGGGCTACCTGGTGTGAGGGGCTACCTCGCTCTCGTCCTCCAGGCTCTGGGAGCTCTGTGTGGAGCTCTGTCTAATGAGGAGGGTGGCGTGGGGGGATGGGCTTGCCAGGGGGGACATCATCTCAGAGGGCCTTTAAAAGGAGAGAAACAGTTACATTTCCACTTTCATCAGTTAGATCCACATTTACTTTGTGTTTTATAAGACTAAAGTCCTCACAAGGTAACGGAATGTAATACACAAGAAACAATGCTGCCGTTGCAGAGGTCAACATAGTTCTGATGCTATGAACACAAGGCGCAGCACATTGATAATCCACAAGATCAGCAGACACCATGCACACACAATGTGTTCTCTACAGCAGTTCTTATTTATCAGCAGTTAGTCATCATAGGTTTATACTGCAGTCTGTGCACTTGCGTCTAAGCCTGTGTGGTGCACATACTTATGAAAGCCAAGGCTCGCCTTCACTTTGACTAGTGACTAGCATGGCCATCTAGCGACTAGTGACGAACAACCGTGCAAATGACAGGGCAGGTTTTACTGTACCTGCTGGCTTGGTTCACACTGCCTCCTTCTGGCCCCTGGCTGTCAGTGTCAGCACCGGCCCTGCAACCCTCCTGGAACTTGGCTTCTAGGTCACTGAGCTAAGAAAGGGAAAATGAGAGGTGGAGATGGAAGAGGAGGGAGAAAAGACAGGACAGAATAAGAGTTATGTATACAATGGTCACAGGGCGACAATGGGAGTAAGTCTTATATTGTTATTGTTTCTAACCTGGGACCCCGTTGGGATTAGTGTTACGCTGACTCTTCGCCGAGTGAGGGTCTAAGAAAGATGGGGAAAGAAGGAGAGAAAAAGAAGTGAAACATTTGAAAAAAAATTAAAAAGCATCTGGCCTGCCCCCACTGATATTTTCATTCATTTAACTGAGATATTTGAGGGCAGAATATGTGAAGACAGGACAGAAAAACACATTGAAGTGAAGTGTCTGTTACCTGTAGGGAGTCTCGTCTGACAAACCGATTCCTGACGTCTCCTTCCTCTGAAAGCCAACAGTCAGAACACAGCCTTTCCATATGTGAACTATCTTGTTACACTGTACAGTTTGATTAAACTGTTCCCTATTATGATAATCATATAAGAATCAATACTTCAAATAATAGATTGATTCAGAAAATAGTGCAGTGGGCTTAAATGTACTTTCACATGTCCACAACAAAGTAACCCCCCAACAAATCAATTATCTGTTGTCTGTGTCATAGTTCCTCCGTGCCACAGAAGGGCAGCACTTGCCTGAGTCGCTGTGAATCCTGCGGTGGAGCTGCTTCCTGGTCTCCAGCAGCTCGGCGCTCTCCACGGCATGTCGACGCTTCAGGTGTTCCACATGAACCTCCATCATTTCCACAGAACAACACACACGCGCTTCCTGACCCAGCAGAGACATCGATGAATCAACCAACCAACCAACCAACCAATAAACCAATCAATCAATCAATTAAACTATTTGTATAGCACTTTTATACAAAGTAATTTTTCATTGAGCATTAATCAAAACCTGGACTTATACCCCAAAAGAGCAAGCCTAGGGCGTCAGACAGTGTCGCTGTCGTGATGACATCACTTCCTCACCTGGTGCACGGCCCCCAGCATCTCAGCAGCAGCGATAATGTCACTCACGCCTTCCAGCACTGTGTCCAGACTGGCCTCGATACAACTCAACATCTCTGACCGCTCAGCGTCTACACACCTACCTCTCAGAGACTGGGAGAGAGGGAGTGGGAGAGGGGGGAAGGAGAGGAGTGAGGGAGGGAGGAGAGAAGAGAGGAGGGGAAGAGAGGATTAGAGGAGAACGAGAGAGATAAGGTTTAAACAGACATTTATCAGACCATCAACTACTGTACAAGAGTCAAGCAGCCAGGTCAAACACGTGCACAAATACACAGCCGCAGGAAGTAGGGGTGCTGAGGGTGCTGCAGCACACCCTGAAAAATCGGAATTAAAAATATATATTAATACAATTGATTTTTTGTCCTATATTAGCAGACCGATATAGACGTCTGTAGCGCAGGCAAACCATTTTTTCAGCATCTCAGCTAGTTGTATAATTAAGAACAGTATCTTGCAGGGTTCAATAGTTGGAAATGTAAGTGTTGTTGCCGTGTCCCTTTCTCTGCAATCCTCATTCTAATGGAATCCAGAAATAACAAAACCTTGTCCTCAAACATTTACATCAAAAGGTGCAAAGTTATGGGAAAAGACCCAAAACATCCACATCAAATTAAATATTTTTCTTGATCAAATAACATGGAAAACAACCATCCTTACAAACCACTTAATGTAAATGTACATTACTGTATTGTACATAGGCTGGTCATCTAGGTTTATACCTGTAGACCTTCCATCACCATGAAGAAAAACAATGCACAATACAGTAATTGAGTACATTGAGTCATCAAGTGGTTTGTGATGATGTGATAATGTGGCTGAGTGGTAGAGCATGGTGCTTGCAACGCTAGGGTTGTGGGTTTGATTCCCACGGGGGACCAATACGAAAAAGTATGAAAATGTATGCACTCACTACTGTAAGTTGTGAGTTGGCGCAGCATCCCCAAACTACTTCCCGCTGCTATGCATACATACCTACCTGCAGAGTGTCTCTGGCACGCTCCAGTTCCAGGTTGAGGTTCTCCTGGGCCACAGTTCTGTCGTGTTCCTCAGCCTGCAGTCTCTGGGCCAGGGTGTACTGGTCACAACGGAACGCCAGAGCCAGCTGGGTAAACGCACTCTATAGGGGACAGAACAGTGTGTGTGTGATGTGTGGAGTGTGTATGTCTAAGTGCACTAATCACAAATAATTCTCACCTCTACCTCATCTTCAGTCATCTCTGTACCACTAAGGGCAGGAGAGAGATGGTATTGAGGAAAGGGAAAGAAAGGGGGAATATAATGGTGAGGTTGTAAATATCGAAAAAGTGTTAAAAGTGTGTCTGAGTATCAACTGACGTGCTGAGGCCCAGTCTTTCCAGTATAGGAAGGTTCTCCCAGGAGACAGCCAGCTGGTCCTCTGGACTGGGCTCTGAGGAGAGGAGAGGACAGGGTGTTCACAGCTTTGCTAGCATACAACAACAGAGAGAAGAAATGGAAGTATTGCCATGTCCTGCTGCTGGTAACAATGCAGCTCAGGCAGCCAATCGGATTCCTTACCTTGGTCAGACTCCGAGCTGTCCCCCAGTATGCCAGCATACTCACAGGGAGTGGCCTCCTTAGCAGGGGGCTGGGAGAGGGACAACACACAAATCAGTCAACAAGCTCTTGGCCAGGCTGTTATTGTAGATGAGAACAAGTTCTCAACAGACTGGTTAAAGCTCCAATGCAGTCTTTGTAATGTTATTTTTAAATCATCACTGCATGTCTAATAAATCACTGTGTGTGTTTACTTAATAAAAATAACTTCAAAATATACAGTACCAGTCAAAAGTTTGGACACACCTACTCATTCAAGGGATTTTCTTTATTTTTTTTAACTATTTTCTACATTGTAGAATAATAGTGAAGATATCAGAACTATGAAATAACACATTTGGAATCATGTAGTAACCAAAAAACTGTTAAAAATATTTTAGATTTTAGATTCTTCAAAGTAGCCACCCTTTGCTTTGATGACAGCTTTGCACACTCTTGGCATTCTCTCAACCAGCTTCATGAGGTAGTCACCTGGAATGCTTTTTTAACAGTCTTGAAGGGCGGCAGGTAGCTTAGTGGGTAAGAGCGTTGTGCCAGTAACCGAAAGGTCGCTGGTTCTAATCCCCGAGCCAACTAAGTGAAAAATCTGTCGATGTGCCCTTGAGCAAGGCACTTAACCCTAATTGCTCCTGTAAGTCGCTCTGGATAAGAGCGTCTGCTAAATGACTAAAATGTAAATGTAAGGAGTTCCCAAATATGCTGAACACTTGTTGGCTGCTTTTCTTTCACTCTGCGGTCCAACTCATCCCAAACCATCTCAATTGGGTTGGGATCGGGTGATTGTGGAGGCCAGGTCATCTGATGCAGCACTCCATCACTCTCCTTCTTGGTCAAATAGCCCTTACACAGCCTGGAGGTGTATTTTGGGTCATTGTCCTCTTGAAAAACAAATGATAGTATCGCTGCAGAATGCTGTGGTAGCCATGCTGGTTAAGTGTGCCTTGAATTCTAAATAAATCACTGACAGTGCCACCAGCAAAGCAGCCCCACACCATCACACCTCCTCCTCCATGCTTCACGGTGGGAACCACACATGCAGAGATCATCCGTTCAACTACTATGCGTCTCACAAAGACATGGCGGTTGGAACCAAAACTTTGGACTCATCAGACCAAAGGACAGATTTCCACCGGTCTAATGTCCATTGCTTGTGTTTCTTGGCCCAAGCAAGTCTCTTCTTCTTATTGGTGTCCTTTAGTAGTGGTTTATTTGCAGCAATTTGACCATGAAGGCCTGATTCACGCAGTCTCCTCTGAACAGTTGATGTTGAGATGTGTCTGTTACTTGAACACTGTGAAGCATTTATTTGGGCTGCAATCTGAGGTGCAGTTAATTGCCGATTTCTGAGACTGGTAACTCTAATGAACTTATCCTCTGCAGCATAGGTAACTCTGGGTCTTCCTTTCCTGTGGCTGTCCTCATGAGAGCCAGTTTCATCATAGTGCTTGATGGTTTTTGCGACTGCACTTGAAGAAACGTTCAAAGTTCATGAACTTTTCCGTATTGACTGACCTTCATGTCTTAAAGTAATGATGGACTGTCGTTTCTCTTTGCTTATTTGAGCTGTTCTTGCCATAATATGGACTTGGTCTTTTACTAAATAGGGCTATATTCTGTATCCCGCTCCAACCTTGTCACAACACAACTGATTGGCTCAAACGCATTAAGAAGGAAAGAAATTCCACAAATTAACTTTTAACAAGGCACACCTGTTAATTTAAATGCATTCCAGGTGACTACCTGTATAGGCTACCTGAACCTGCATGACAGGAGCCTTCCTCGCGCTCTATCCCAGTTTGGATAGAAAGTTGTGCGTAAAACCAGTCTGTTAATGCCAAATAATGCTGTCAGTCCACCCTCAAAACACTAGCTTACTAGGGATTGTTTCATTATGCAGTGTACTATCCAGAGGAGGTTGGTGGCACTTTAATTGTGGAGGACGGGCTTGTGGTAATGGCTGGAGCGTAATGGTATCAAATACAGCAAACACATGGTTGCCACGCGTTTGATGCCATTCTATTCGCTCCGTTCCAGCCAAGATTATGAGCCGTCCTCCCCTCAGCAGCCTCCACTGTTATTATCTAGGGTTTAATCACTATATTCTGTGATCTTGACTCTCAGAGTTGCAGGATCATGATGAAAATTATATTTTGGCTTGATAGATAGCTAGCTGGCTGTTTGGATTCCAATAATGCAGCTTTTTGTTTAATCTGTTTGGAAGTATTACACCAAAGACTGCATGCTGTGTCCAGAGGTAGCAGAGGAAGTTCAGGGACTGTTCATGGAACGCTCGTAACCACTGCCAAAATGTGGTCGCTTTTCAGCAGCCGTGGCATCACAGTGGGTGCTGGGTGCTATACTGAACAACATGTAAAGTGTTTGTCCCATTTTTCATGAGTGGAAATAAAATATTCCAGAAATGTTCCATATGCACAAAAAGCTTATTTCTCTCAAATTTTGTGCACAAATTTGCTTACATCCCTGTTAGTGAGCATTTCTCCATTGCCAAGATAATCCATCCACCTGGACAGGTGTGGCATATCAAGAAGCTGATTAAAAAGCATGATCATTAAACAGGTGCATCTTGTCTCACGTTGAGGGAGTGTGCAATTGGCATGCTGACAGAGCTGTTGCCAGAGAACTGAATGTTCATTTCTCTACCATAAGCTGCCTCCAACGTCTCGTTTTAGAGAATTTGGCAGTACATCCAACCAGCCTCAAAACCGCAGACCACGTGTAACCACGCCAGCCCAGGACCTCCACATCTGGCTTCTTCACCTGCCCTCCCAGGCCCCCCATGGCTGCGCCCCTGCCCAGTCATGTGAAATCCATAGATTAGGGCCTAATTCATTTATTTCAATTGACTGACTTCCCTCTATGAAGTGTAACTCAGTAAAATCTTTGAAATTGTTGCGTTTATATTTTTGTTCAGTGTACATTCCTAGCAATGGAGGACCAGTACCAGATAAGCGGCTCCAATGGAGTGACTGACCATTTAGAGAAGCAGGTGTGGTGGGCTGTTGAAAAGCTCCGGGCCTGCTTTATCAGACTGTCGTTGTTTCTCCTTGGCGGTCCCATCGATACCCCCTCCACTGAACCTACATTGTCTTTCCAGCCCAAACTGCCTCAACTTCATCCCAAACCGACTGAGACTTTCAATCTCCATCATTTCATTTTTTGTTTGTTGTTTTACTTTTTATGCGCTTCGAGATCCTTTGAAAAGCGCTATAAACGTTTTAAAATGTAGCCTGTGTATGTAGGCTATACCAGAGACGAGGGACTGTTGATATTGCAACACACAATTCAAACCCCGGTTCACCAGTATTAACGAAATCGCAAACAGCTTTTTTTTGCTCAAGGCAAGCCCTCAATAACTGTTGTCTCCGAAACACAATCTGTTTGCATCTCACAATTTATTGGATGTCCAGTATCCAGACAACCTGTCCCAGAGCTTCCTATAGCCTTCAGTTAATCTCTTTCCGTAAGGTCGGCAATTAAGAAGAATGAGAGGCTCAATTAAATGTTACAGAACTGCTGTATTTGAAGCACAACTCCCTTCTGCAGTTTCCCTGATGTTACTATGGCAATCAAGATGTTTTTACCATCCCTGTAACTGTTGCTTCTGCGGAAAGATCGTTTTCTAAACTAAAACTAATAAAGAACTACATAAGATGCAGTAAGCTCTTGGTGTGAGATGCGCTTTTGAACGCCTGAGTAAACACCATTCATTTCCTGGCGCAGTCGTAGCCTTGACCACGGCCTTCACTGATACTTTCAGGTTATTTGTTCTTTTTTTACTTTTTCAGTCACATTCCTAAAGCCCATGAAACAGCATTCTACTACATATGGCAATTTAAAAGGTTTATGAATGACTTTTTGGAGGGTTACTGTCAAAATGACATACAGTGAGATACACCCGTCTGACTATGAATCTAGAGCTACAGACTTACAAAGAGCCCTCCTTTGCTTACCCCTGGTTGTGATGTCAGAGCTCCAGTGAAGCTGGAGTCACTCTTTGGTGGTCGGTACCGACTCATTCTGCCCTTCACACGCCCAACTACGAATCAACTTGAATGCCTATAGCCACTTCTATAGAGCTGAAAGGATTGGATAGGTATAAACTATATGGCAATTTCCACCAACAGATTCAGAGGTAATGGTGGGGTTATAACCATACATACATTTAGATCTCCATGGAATGCCAGACAGGACGACAAAAGCCTTGACAGTTCTTACCCTGTGACTCTGCCTCCTGCTGTATTACTCAGAGCAGAGAGGAAGAGGCAGATGTAATCTGATTAAGTGTCATGTCGGCCTCCTGTGCTCTATGGTGGAGAGGTGACAGCCAGGGCACATGGCAGGATCACCAGGGTGGTCAACAAGGGACTGTGCTTACATAATATACATTCTGTAATTGTACACGTTGTTTTGCTCTGACTACACTGTACTAGGGGTCATTTGACCCTTGCTTAACATTGACATTTTAAGACCCCACTAAACCACTCCGAAACAGAACGGCTACTAACAGACAAATTGAAAATGTCAACCATGCCCACTTCAAACTCAAATGAAATGTCACTTTTAGCAAGAACAAATACCATCCTGCATTAGATTGTGTTTTACCCAGCACTCAAGTGGTGTACACTGCTAGCCCAATGCAACTTATCCCATCTAGTCAGAATCTGGTTAGAGCAAATGTCAGAATTGACTTTTCACATGGAGTTAGAAATAAGAGGTTATGAGCATTACGGTAAATTCTGACTTGACCCAAACTTTTGACATTAGCTGCATCTCATCTAGAGATCAACAGTAACCCCACTAAACCCCTTCATCAGCTTTGTGCCATACACTGGCCACTCCCATCATGTTCTGGTATTATCACAAGGTCCAGTAGAACTGGGGCAGACAATATAACTAAGTCACTCTGGATTAGAGCGTCTGCTAAATGACTAAAATATAAAAATATAATATGCGTTAACACAATCTCATCTGTAGCCCATTTGCCCAGTTTAGAAACAGTTCACAGCAATCTGACATTTAAACATCAATGGATAAAATCTTCAGGCATTGTGCGTTACTTCCATAAACAGGTTAGTGACTTAAGTTTTTAGGATCATATGTCTTTCGATCCCTTGCAGAGGGGATAACCTACACAAATACATCTGGCACAACATAAGAATAACCACAGAGAGAAGATGCGATTTGTCCTTTTATTGGTAGTAAAAGAGTTTGTCCTCTAGTAGAGGCGCTGGGGCTTTCCCATGGTGCTCTTGACGTAGAGGGCCCGGACATTCTGCCAGTTCTTCTTCAGCAGGGACACCAGGAAGTTAACAGCCAGGTGGATGTTGTACACCAGCTCCTCCTCGGACATCTTCACGTGACCCACAGCCACTGCCAGACACAGCACCTGGAATAGAGGACATTGTCACAATGAGACGGGACAGGTTGCTGCATTAAAAAAATGTATGTGTTGACAAAATGTTGGGTTTCAGAAATCCGAGCAGCTTTGGATTAACAGACATGTAACAAAGTGCCTAATGAACAAGGCCGCTACCTTAAACAGAGTTCCCAAAGTTGTCTACACATACAACACAACGACTTCAGAGTCTGGATGCACGAATCATGAAAATACAACTACATACACTGTATCTGGCACCAAACTGAGCCATACCTTCTTCATCTGGAACTTGATGGTGGACTTGACCTCATCAACCTTGACGTTGAGGTTCTCATTGTGGGTGAGCAGGGAGGGAAACTTGCCAGCCTTGTTGAGCCCAGGCCCCAGGATACGAGGGATCTGCTTGATCAGAGACTCAGAGGCCAGGAAGGCATCGTACTTCTTTGCTGTTGGGGCAGACGAAGAGATGGCGTCAACAGAACTACCAAGACCAGAACGTGAGACTTGGACCCAGTGCCTCAGGATAGGGACAATCGAAGACAGATTTAAATGTAGAAAAACAAGTGCAAGACCTAGACGGCTCATAAGACGAAAACTATCTGGAAGTGACTCAAAGCGCCACCCACCCAGCTTCTTGACCATTTTCTTGTTCTTGTTGAGCTTCTTGAGGGCCTCGATGTCCATGTGGGGCAGCTCTGCAGCCTTGGCCTCGTCACAATGCTGCTGGTCTCCCAGGATGCACACAGAGAACTTGGGCCTGGGGGTGGTCTTCAGTCTACAGGGGTGAATCATAACAGTTCACAAAACTATATGGCGCCCCAGTAACGCTCACACAAACCATGAGGGTCATCACCATCTGGCCATGCTAGAACGGATGATTTCTGACTAGATTAACCCCTAAACCCACCTTTACACCATCCCTTTCCAAACCTAAATACTTACACCGCTAACTTATGCACTTTCTGATCAGTACAGACAAGTCACTTTCACCCTTTCCAACATGGCCATCCAGTGACTCTCCAACTTGGACCCGATTCAAACCCGGAGGGACGACTCATACCAGAGAAGAGCACTCTGGAGTCTTACCAGGACCACACCAACTGGCTTCTCTTCTGGACTCCACCAGCAACACCATTAACTAAAATGGTCGGCTCAAGGGAGGTGCGAAGACCCCCCCGTCTGCCTCCCCTCATGTTTTAAGACCCAGGGTAAGGGTCCGCCCGCTGGTTCCCTCTCCCAGGGCAAGGGAGGGGTTCAGTTGGACTCCCCAAACACTTCTGCACTGCCTGTCCCACACTAGTCCTGCTAGTGGAATTTACTTTGTGTGCGATGTATGAGAGGTCTGCTGCAAAAGTGTGTTTGAGAGATTGTACTTGACTGCATAAGTGTCTTTGAGTGTGCATGAATGGGACTGGGTGTGAGCAAGTAAGTTATGAATGTCCAGATCGAAGGGCCAAACCAGGCCAGTTCACTCAGGACTAGGAGGGGCAGACAGGCAGAAGGATGGGTGATACGGGAAAGGGGCCGAACCTGACGGTGCCAGAGAAACGCTTGTCCTTCTGGGGATCGTAGTTCTTCAAGCTGATCTGGAGTTCTACAGATTCCGTGAACCTTCAAGAAAGGAAGTTGGCACATCACAGATTCAGGAACAAAGCAAGAGATCATCAACGCGAGATTTAACAAAATGGGTAATGACAAAAAATGCAGTATATCAAATTATTGGAAAGACCAATGTGCAATAACATGTCTTTTTAGCAGTCAGAACAGATCAGCTGCCAAGGGACCGCTATTGACTAGAGAAAGGAAAGGTTCTTACTTGCGTGGCTTGGCCAGAGATCCCGCCTGGACCTCCTTGACCACCTCATAGAGCATATCCCTGGACACCTTGCTGTAATCAAACACTAAATGTTAGTCAGTGTCAATGACAGTGTACAAAATTATACATAGCCCTAAGAATTCATGAATGTGCATCCCTGTACCACATTCAGCTAGCTGACTTAACTGACTTGATGCCATAGCAAGTTCTCGCCAGCAGTCGACATTACAAACGGGTAAAAGCCAGTAAAGAGTGGAAATCACAAAACTATTGCAATTTTAACAATTACCAGTCATGTACGGCACAATTTAGTTAAGTTCGGAACAAAAAGGATTACGATTTAATGTTAGATGGATGTGGATGTATGTAGCTCACATTCTAGCGTTAGCATGCAAGCTAGGAGCACTATAGTAGAGGTGGAGAATTCACAAATTCCTCATAAAATGACGTTGAAAGTGAACGCAGTCACACTGCAGAGCTAGAGAAAAGATTTAACGGATCACTGATGATAATATAGCATATCTGACTTCTTGTTATTCTTTATTTGCTATACTTTTCTCTCACCTCATTTTGACTGTATTGCTCACACGCGACAGATTGCTGAAAAGAAGGATGAAGGGCAGTCCGTCGCCGTTTATAGACGTGGTTCGGTGACGTAAATTCTGCGCTGCCGCTCCGGACATATTTGTAGTTTTTCCCCTGTGAATAATCTCTAGCCTATTTTCTGCAATGAATATGTGGATTTGGACATTTATGTCACTGGCATTGGTAATAACAATATTCATCCCTGTAAATAGTATTGGTTCTTGCAGTTTCAAAGACCAAAATGAACAAATCAAAGTCCTCAGGCATGATGTGGCATTGGAGGTACAGTGAGACATAATCATGAATTTATGCTGAACTCTGACCTGCCTTGCCCAAGTGATCTGTCCATTTATAAGACAAAGTAGAGATCAGTGGTTGCTACTCTGGTAATACTGATGCTCTTGCGCTACAGCGACAAGGGGATTGACGAGAGACTTGAGTTAACACATAAGACATAAATCGATCATAAATCATAACACCCCACAATTGTCACAATGCCTGTAAACTAAGTGCTTATTTGCTAACTTTTACAGTCTCACATTCCTATCCCCATTCAAACACAGTGGGGGCTAACAGTCCGAGTTCCAAACAAATGTCAGGTTAGGTTTCCCAGGGAATGGGGAGGGTTTGGCCGGAGCAAGGAGTCTGGGTAACCAGGCAACCATCGGGTGCGCTCCACTCTTGCTCTGTATGTAGGCTGGATACCCCGGCCTGAGCCTGTCCTTGAAAAACAATAGTTGGAGGGTCAGTGAGGTCTCTGGGGTGTCATTGTTCAGACACATCTGCTGAACGCATTGATCTGGCATAGCTCACTGGGTTCACATGCAGTTCACACACAAACACACACACACACACACCTCAACAAAGGAAACACTCTAAGGAAGGAAACCAGGGGCGACAGGCTGCCTCCTGACAGTCGGTATACAGACCTGACCCGTTCTGTTGTAGATTATTGATTTTCTTTATTTCGCTCACACACACACACTAACACTTGTAAACAGATGGACACATGCACTCTCTCTCCTTTGCACAAATATTATTTACCCCCCCGCCCCCCATCTCTCGCTCTCACACACACATACAGTGCCATGAAAAAGTATTTGCCCCCTTTCTAATTTTCTCTACTTTTGCATATTCATGATACTGAATGTTATCAGATCTTCAACCAAAACCTAATATTAGATAAAGGAAACATAAGTTAACAAATAACACAACAATTACATATTTATTTCATTTATTTCATAAACAAAGTTATGCAACACCCAATTCCCCTGTGTGAAAAAGTAATTGCCCCCTTACACTCAATAACTGGTTGTGCCACCTTTAGCTGCAATGACTCCAACCAAATGCTTCCTGTAGTTGTTGATCAGTCTCTCACGTCGCTGTGGAGGAATTTTGGCCCACTCTTCCATGCAGAACTGCTTTAACTCAGTGACGTGTGGGTTTTCAAGCATGAACTGCTCGTTTCAAGTCCTGCCACAACATCTCAATTGGGATTAGGTCTGGACTTTGACTAGGCCATTCCAAAACTTCCAATTTGTTGCTTTTTAGCAATTTTCATGTAGACTTGATTGTGTGTTTTGGATCATTGTCTTGCTGTATGACCCAGCTGCACTTCAGCTTCAGCTCACAGACGGATGGTCTGACATTCTCCTGTAGAATTCTCTGATACAGAGCAGAATTCATGGTTCCTTCTATTAAGGCAAGTCGTCCAGGTCCTGAGGCAGCAAAGCATCCCCAAACCATCACACCACCACCACCATGCTTGACCTTTGGTATGATGTTCTTACTGTGGAATGCAGAGTTTGGTTTTCGACAGGCATTACCGGAACCATCTCGTCCAAAAAGTTATACTTTTGAATCATCTGTCCATAGAACGTTCTTACAAGAGTCTTGATGATCATCCAGGTGCTTTTTGGCAAACTTGAGTCAACTTTCTGGACGAGATGGTTCCAGTAATGCCTGGCGAAAACCAAACTCTGCATTCCGCAGGAAGCGTTAGACAGGCCGGGTAACCTACCTGACCTCACCACCCCTCCCAACCTATAAAAACTGATTGATTCAACGCTTGGATTCCAACCATTATAAACGACAAATCATTACTTAATAAACGTTTATATCTAGGCCTATAACATTGCACAACATCGACAGACAACTAAAGAAGAGGATCGGATAGACACAGGAATATAAATTGATAGGTTATTAGTTTAAAAGTATAACTTTTATAGAATAATTTCATGATCCAACCATTGATGAACGGTAAATCATCTATATTATAATACAATAACCATAAGCCTCTCAGCTGAGGGAGGTTCTACACCTAAAATGTTGCACAGATTTTCTTCCTTTTAGGATCAAAAGAAGCGCGTCATCCTCTTACATGGCACCTTATATTTAGCTGTGTTTTGTATTTTTTCCCCGGCTTTTGTGTTTGGAATGCTACGGTTACTATGGGAGATTCAGCTGGCAAAATGCAAATGATGTAAGCGTCTGTAGAATGACTACATTAACCATAATGCTACACTGGACACTGGCTGAGGAGTAGGGTTGATCCGAGTGTTCTGACCTCACAACGGGTGATCGGATAGGTGGATGCTGAGTTCGAATTAAGCAGCGTGTGATGCTAGTGAAGATATGGTAGCGGATGCAACACAGCCTGTAGTAAATGTTTGCTGCCAGTCAAAAGATACCCTGTGTGTTAAAAAGGTGGATTTTGTGGCATTCATTGCCACTGTTGTAAACTATATGGCTCAAGGCTCAAAGAAGTCTAATAAACTGGACATTTGTGGCTGTGGCAGAAACGTTTTTGGGATTTAAAGATTTTACATCTGAAGACTTGCAAGGTGTACTGGCGCCGGAAAACGGCCCGCCCTCCCAGGCTTCCCTTGAGCCTGTGTAGGGATCAGATCTGTTTATTTTTGAACAGTAAAGTTGCTTGATTTAGTTTATTTGTTTGAATTTTTTTGGTAGTTTGTTCCGTAGGTTGCGGGATGCACATTAAAGTGCAACCAAATTATTTTTCTGTGCCTGGTCGCGCACAGATTTAAAATGAGTAGCTTAACAATTATTTACATGGCCCCAGTTGCATTTGCAAACCAATTATTTTTTACACCCGGTCTCATGGATGGCTAACTCTAGAAATTCCTTTGGTCTCAGAGTTAGGTAAATCAGCTTTTAGTTCTCTCGCACCTTATTTGTGGAACAATCTTCAAAATGTTCTTACATTTTAGTTTTTTGTGCCTCTCTGTTTTTTATGACTTTTTCTTTCTGCTTGAATTTTGTATTTATATTTGTATGTCTATTGTCTGTAATTCAGGGCTCTGTAAAAGAGACCTAATGGCTCAGTAGGAGTCCCTGATAAAATAGGGTGATAAAAATAGGGTGACAGTGAGCAAATTCCTGAGCAGTGAGTCAAATAACCATAGACAATACGTTTACAATGGCTTATTAATAGGTATAAATAAATTGTATTTCTATGGTTGCAGTCCTCAAAGATTGAATTGCATTGAATCAAATGAATCTGATCCAATGATTTACCACCTGTAGGGTGGTGATAGTGAGATTTAATCCAAATAATTGAAAACAAGAACATCAAATGTAGTCAAGCAAGTAAGAGACACATCAAAAGTATTACTCAATGTTTTATTCAACCATTTGTAGGAAGTTCTGTACAGAAGGTAGAAATCCTATCCATCAGACAGTTAACACCAGGTGTTTACACGGAGGAAATGCAGTTTGCGGTTGTAGACGGTAGAATATTTCAGACCTGTGCTAGTTGTTGTGCTCATACATTTTATGGGGAAATAAATTCAGTCAACCATTGAGATTCAAATATATTTTTTAGCTTCTTGCTCCTGGAAAATATGTTGTGCAGCAGTAATACTTTGCTGACATTTCATTGTAACAAGTTCTATTCAGTAACTGAAAAGTAACAAGGAAATGTAAAAACAAAAACTGAAACGCAACAAGGAGAAGGGTTTTTAATTGACAACTTCTTTAGTTAGGTAACAGTGCTGCAAGTTAAGTGAATTCAGAGGGGGCGGCATAGTCATTTGACTGCGAGAAGTCAGAAAAGAGCATGGACAGTTACTTAGAACAGTACAGCACCAAACCATATCGCTAAAAGTTTACTGACACAAAAGTGTCAATAAATGTTTAATAATAACCACAGGTGGTCTGTGACACCAGGGGCATCAGACAAAAAGCAGAAGAAAATAGAAGAATATTCATACTGAGAGAAAGGAAGACTTGTTAGATGAAGAAAAAGGTGTGCACAGGGGGAAAAACGACCCCCCCCCCCCAGGGTACACTGACTCCAAGTGGATACAGAGTACTGTAACCAGATCAGGTGGTTGAACACTTTTCACATCATCATCATCATCATCATCATCATCATCATCATCATCATCATCCTCATCTTGGCAACAGAACATGGCCAATGCAGCATTGTGTGAACATTTCTGCTGTAGGTCATCAGCATCAGATCAATGAGTTGTGCTTGAGCAACTTCCTGTGAGCTGAAATAGACAGCTGAAGCGCTTATTCAAGAGATATCTATGTAACAATTTGGCAACCCATCTACTGTATAGGCAAGGAGTCACATATGTCCTCCCCTAATACAAACATTTTTGCAGTAATTCTATGTCACAATATAGAAAATAATAAAAATAGAAACATACATTGATTTGCATATCACTTAAATAATTGCTATGTAGGAAATGCAGTATTTCATCAGTTACCATAATTGGTTGACCTAAAGAATGAGGATAAACCAATTTCCTCTCATGGCAAAATAGATTGGTCCCCCTGCATCTAAGAACTCCAACAGCTTCAGAATTCTGATGGTTTGTCCAGAGCAATAGATCAAGTCAATATATTTCTAGCAGTGACGTCTTAACCGTTGGCATGCATTTCAACTCCCTTCAGTTGATCACTGATCTAAAATAAATGGATAGGTAAAGTCTATATGGTGGAAGTTCTACAGAAGTCTTTGCTGTATTGATTTCACTTGATCAGGCCTTTCAGACCAGTGAGGAAGTGAAAGAGGGAAAGGAGGAGCGAAGCAACTAAAGGAGGATCCATTTTTCTCTAAGTATTACAAAATGGTTCATTCCCTGTCTGAAGTTAGACTGTGCGAGTGACCGATAGTTGTCCTTCGCACCATACTCTGCGGAAGAATGAGAAGAGAGGGAAAGAAGGAAAGAGAGGGAAGCTCATCATATGAGAAATGTACTGTTAAGGCATCCGCATACATAGGTTCGGTTTGCTCCTAGCAGAACTCGGCTAGGCGAAGCGAATGTTTGTGCTCGCATACTCCCTTAAGTCCTTCTCTTGAAAAAAGAGAAAAAAAGCAGCAATATTACTGTTATTTATTCCTCTTGAGCCACCATAGCAGCATAGCCAGTAACACTTCTTCAAAATAGAAAATTGAAGTTTTTGCCGAGGAGGTCTTAGATGTAGAATTGCACGACTAAGATGTTTGGTGCAGTACTTCAAGTGAAATAATGTGCATGAAAACTAGTAGTGCAGTGCAGACAATAAGCTGCTGCTGTGCTCTCGTTGAATGACAGCAAACACTTCATTTAACAATCCCGTTCATAGTTCCCACCCCTACTGTTGACCTATCACCGATGAAGGGGCGTACGCGTCGGCTACCGAACTTAGACTTGCCTCAAGAAAAAATGTGTGTGGGAACAGCCGGAAAAAACCCTACCGAACAACAAAACAAACAAAACCGTCAATAAAGTTTGTCGTAATACACTACCGGTCAAAAGTGTATATGCGTGAACTGTTTCGACTGGAAAGCATGCGACCGGCTTCAGAGTTTGGCTTATCGACAGTGCGCAGGTTACAGAACACCGCCTGGCTGAAAGAATACATACAAATAATACTTCCAATTATACATAATTAAGTAATCTAACTTAAACATATAAGTAAAATCATGCACGGAGACATCTTACACAGACCCTGTGGTCAGGTTAACCTTCACAGTGTGACAACACAGAATCGCCCCATGGTTTTAGACCCAACAGTTGTACACAAAAGAAAACAAAAGGTATTGAGGTTAGGAGGTTGTAAGAATCTATAAATGTATGTGTCCATTGAGAAGTGAGACTGACTGAGTATGTCCATGTGCTTCCTGGTCTAACAGGAGGAGGGGGGGGGGTATCTACAAATATTAACTGCTCCTACTATCAGACACAGTCTCTGGGGGAGTGACATGGAAGGGGGGTTGTGAGTTATCAATCAAATCCGTTCTATGATTGGCAGATAATTGGGAGGTTTACGAGTGTGAATTTGTACTGAAGGTATCCATATGAGGAAAGGAGAGTTAAGGGGGTTTGGTGTTAGCTTATACCAGTGTAAGGGCCTTAGGAATGGGAAAGGGGACACCCATGGTTGCCGACGACCCTCTTATTTGTACAGGCAAGCAGAACCAGCATTTTTCTGAATATCAGCATCACGACCTCTCAGAGAGTTTGTAGCACAAACAACAATGGCAGAACAGTCTGGTGATAACCCTGAATTGCAGGGTTAAGAATGGGTTGACCGTTGTAAAAAACACTCGCGATTGGGAGAGACTACAAAAATCTGTTGTATAAAAATAGCAACGCAGATCATCGGTCGAAAAATAGATGGGGAAAATGAGGAGTCTTGGTTTTGTTGTGGCGTTGGTTGGGGAGCTGTTTGCTATTCTCCTGGAATACCTCTGCACCGTCACCACGTTGAGAGCAGGACACTACAAGCCTGTCAACTGTCAGTCCTGTCCAACCACAGTTAAAAGCCTGCTATACAACTGCATCGATTATGTCTTGAAACAGCTCAAAATCAGCTTATATTTGGGACACCCAACCATTTCCACACATGTTTAATATGTGGTAGAGTGTGTTACTTTGTATATCTCCCATTAGTCCATTGCTCCATTCCCAATCAGTATATGTTCTAAATATGTCATTCCATCCAGTCCAGAGACAGTCAAGAGACCCTGATGAAGGCAGCTTGCTGCCCAAACTATGGTGATTCTTTATAAATCAATTGCATCGGAACAAGAGTGTGCAGCTATATTCATAGTCATTACTCCCCCCAGTCTGCACATTGCCAATTCAGGTATCCGTTTTCCTCATGCTTTTATTAAAAACGTTAGAATAAAACGCTGACACACTTGACAACTGATCAAGGTCGTGATTGATTGGCTGAGGAGTTGAGTCGGGTGTGTTAGTTCTGGGCTGGAATAAAAACATGCACCCGTGACTCCCACTCACAGGAAAGGAGTGAGTGAACACCACCGCTGTTCTAGGAAGCTAAAACCAGTGCGGTCCAGTTCAGTCCAGTCAGTACATGTCCTTGTAGATCTCCTGCAGCAGCGGGTGAAGTGAGGTCTCTGACTCAGTCTTCTTAATCTTCTGGACCAGTATGGCGTTCTCTGTGACCAACTGGCGCAGGTCGGCCATCTTGTTGAGCAGCTTGGGGAAGAGGTAATGTGAGTCAGCGTGGTTGCCCAGCAGGTGCTGGTCCAGGGCCTGCAGGATGCTGTCCTGAATCTCCTCCACCTGCTTGATGTTCATCAGCCCCGGACGGTCTGGGAGGAGGAGAGAACAGAGGGGGAGGGAGAGGAGCAGTAGAAGGGGTAAGTATACTGTATGTCAACTGGTAGAAAACAAACTTGTATGCAAGCCCGTTCTAAACTTGACTTCAGCATTAACCTCAGCTTGGCTTAGTTACGTTAGTTAAGCTTATTATGATAGTAGAATGGTTAGGGTTATTATGACAGTGCCAGTATATTGTGGCAGCATAGTACTGAGTTCTAACGGTAGTACTATGATAGAACCAGCACATACCTCCACAGAGGATGATGGCGGCCACAAACAGGGCCAGGTCACTGTCATCCAGCTCCAGGGCATTGAACTTAACGGCAAACTCAAACTTGGGCTCCATGATCTCGCTAAAAGGCCGCCGCAGGCTGCGCAGGAACTCCCGGGTCACAAAGCCCTTCCCGTTGGCCACTAGCAGCCCATCCTTGTTCATGAGCGAGGGAAGCATGGCGAAGATGGCCTCGTGCACGCCGTATTTCAACAGCGTTACCTGGTGGGGGGAGGGAGAACAGCAGCCTGAATATCACTGTCCAATATCTCAAATGTTTTTAACTGGGATTTTGTCAAGCATGTATACATGTTCTATAATGTTACATAGCCAATTATAGATTAGATTCCTGGCTGTACAATGACTTACCAAACTTGGACATCAAAACTCTGGATTGATGATTTGATTGAATGTTGCTTTACAGTACCTGGGTCTCGATTGATAACGACTGATTAATTGTTGTGTTCCTGTATATACCTGGTCGTTGAGGAAGAGGTCTACAAAGCCGGGGATGCTCTTGGCGAACTCCGTGAGCTCCCTGACCGTCTCCACCGTGGTGCATTGGCAGCGGTAGAACACGTGCACCCCTATCTCCTTGTTGGGCGGCGTCCCGTTGATCAGCTGGTTCCACACCAGCCCATTCTCAGCCTGGTGCAACGAGTCCATGTCGTGGATCACAAAGGGCTACGAGGACGGACGGGGGGGGGGGGGGGATGGTTATTTAGTTAAGTAATAGCAGTATAACAACACTAAACAGACCTTTCACTTGAAATTGCATTCTGTAAGGGCATTCTGCCTGGGCCTAGTTTAGGAAGAAATAGTGTTTGCAGACAAGTCCCGTGTAGCTCAGTTGGTAGAGTATGGAGCTTGCAACGCCAGGGTTGTGGCTTCGATTCCCACGGGGGACCAGTATGGAGAAAAAAGAAGTATGAAAATGTATGCATTTACTACTGTAAATCGCTCTGGATAAGAGCGTCTGCTAAATAACTAAAATGTAAATGTAAATGTAAGCATACAGTCAGCCTGTAAATCAACTCTTATGAAAAGCGTAGGCTGTTGGAGTGACACCGACATTTGGCCCATTGCCCTGTCCTCCCGATCTCAGACACAACAGTGATAAGGCATTAAGACAACCAGGGCTTTTACAACACATTTATACACAGCTGCTAGGTTGCTACTGGAGAGCTAGGCAGTGAGAGCAGAGGTGAAGTTTCAGTGCAGCCTATTCTCCTTGGCGCTCTAGTGCCCTTCTAGAGTATAAAGGCTACATTCTTGTCACTTCGATTAGTGTGGATTGAAATTACAGAATGAAAAAGGCCAGGGACACAACTGAAGTGCATGGAAATTACTTAAAGGCCCAATGCAGCCGTTTTTATATTAATATCAAATCATTCCTGGGTAACAATTACAGTGCCTTCAGAAAGTATTCACATCCTTCAACTTTTCCACATTTTGTTGTGTTACAACCAGAATTGTAAAATGGATTAAATTGAGATGTTGTGTCACTGGCCTAAACACAATACTCCATCATGTCAAAGTAGAATTATGTTTTTAGAAATTGTAACAAAATTCATAAAAAATGAAAAGCTGAAATGTCTTGAGGGACCTTACAGATAATTGTATGTGTAGGGTACAGAGATACACTGGAGTTGCTTACCAAGAAGACATTGAATGTTTCTGAGTGGCTAAGTTACAGTTTGGACTTAAATCTGCTTGAAAATATATGGCAAGACTTGAAAATGGTTGTCTAGCAATGATCAACAACCAATTTGACATTATTTAGAAAATAATAATAAGCAAAAACATAATCCAGGTGTGTAAAGTTCTTAGAGACTTACCCAGCAAGACTCACAGCTGTAATCGCTGCCAAGTTGATTCTAACATGTATTGACTCAGGGGTGTGAATACTTACGTAAATGAGATATTTCTGAATTTCATTTTCAAAAAATGTGCTAACATTTCTAAAAACAGGTTTTCACTTTGTCATTATGGGGTATGGTGTGTAGATGTGACTGCAGGCCGCCCAACAACCTGCCCGCTTGACCCCATCCCCTCCTCCCTTCTCCAGACCATCTCCGGTGACCTTCTCCCCTACCTCACCTCGCTGATCAACTCATCCTTGACCGCTGGCCATGTCCCTTCCGTCTTCAAGAGAGCGAGAGTTACTCCCCTTCTCAAAAAACCAACACTCGACCCCACTGATGTCAACAACTACAGACCAGTATCCCTTCTTTCTTTTCTTTCCAAAACTATTGAGCGTGCCGTCTTTAGCCAACTCTCTTGCTATCTCTCTCAGAATGACCTTCTTGATCCAAACCAATCAGGTTTCAGGACTGGTCATTCAACTGAGACTGCTCTTCTCTGTGTCACAGAGACTCTCCGCACTGCTAAAGCTAACTCTCTCTCCTCTGCTCTTGTCCTTCTAGATCTGTCTGCTGCCTTTGATACTGTGAACCATCAGATCCTCCTCTCCACCCTCTCCGAAATGGGCATCTCCGGCGCGGCTCACTCCTGGATTGCGTCCTACCTGACCGGTCGCTCCTACCAAGTGGCGTGGCGGGAAGCTGTCTCCGCACCACGTGCTCTCACCACTGGTGTCCCCCAGGGATCGGTTTTGGGCCCTCTCCTTTTCTCCCTATACACCAAGTCACTTGGCTCTGTCATATCCTCACATGGCCTTTCCTATCATTGCTACGCTGACGATACACAACTAATCTTCTCCTTTCCCCCTTCTGATCACCAGGTGGCGAATCGCATCTCTGCATGTCTGGCAGACATATCAGTATGGATGACGGATCACCACCTCAAGCTGAACCCTGGCAAGACGGAGCTGCTCTTCCTCCCCGGGAAGGACTGCCCGTTCCATGATCTCGCCATCACGGTAGACAACTCCGCTGTGTCCTCCTCCCAGAGTGCGAAGAGCCTAGGCGTGACCCTGGACAACACCCTGTCGTTCTCCGCCAACATCAAGGCGGTGACCCGCTCCTGCAGGTTCATGCTCTACAACATTCGGAGAGTGCGACCCTGCCTTACACAGGAAGCGGCGCAGGTCCTGGTCCAGGCACTTGTCATCTCCCGTCTGGACTACTGCAACTCGCTGTTGGCTGGGCTCCCTGCCTGTGCCATTAAACCCCTACAACTCATCCAGAATGCCGCAGCCCGTCTGGTGTTCAACCTTCCCAAGTTCTCTCACGTCACCCCCCCTCCTCCGCACACTCCACTGGCTTCCAATTGAAGCTCGCATCCGCTACAAGACCATGGTGCTTGCCTTTGGAGCAGTGAGGGGAACGGCACCCCTGTACCTTCAGGCTCTGATCAGTCCCTACACCCAAACGAGGACATTGCGTTCATCCACCTCTGGCCTGCTGGCTCCCCTTCCTCTGCGGAAGCACAGCTCCCCCTCAGCCCAGTCAAAACTGTTCGCTGCTCTGGCACCCCAATGGTGGAACAAGCTCCCTCACGACGCCAGGACAGCGGAGTCACTCACCACCTTCCGGAGACATTTGAAACCCCACCTCTTTAAGGAATACCTGGGATAGGCTAAAGTATTCCTTCTAACCCCCCCCCCCCCCCCCCCCCCCCCCCCCCAAATTGTAAAGTGGTTATCCCACTGGCTATAGGGTGAACGCACCAATTTGTGAGTCGCTCTGGCTAAGAGCGTCTGCTAAATGACGTTAATATGCCCTTGAGCAAGGCACTTAACCCTAATTGCTCCTGTAAGTCGCTCTGGTTAAGAGCGTCTGCTAAATGACTAAAATGTAAATGTAATGTAAATGTAGATGGGTGAGAATTTGTATTTATTTAATCAATTTTGAATTCAGGCTTTAACAACAAAATGTAGAATAAGTCAAGGGGTATGGATACTTTAGGAAGGCACTGTATGCATCATATTGAAATATGTATACGGTATTGAGCTAACCTGTTGTTAATGCATTATATGTATCATTTTTACATATGGATACAGTATTGAGCTAGTGTTATAGTATTAAATATATTTAATTTACATATGGATACGCTACCGGGCTGGCGCTGTTCTTGCCGGTGAGGATGCTGCGAGCCTTCTTCTTGGTCATGTTGAGGTTCTTTAGGTAGGCGTTGTTGACCTGCTTGGCCAGGGATTTGAGGTCCGAGCCGTTGGGGTTGGTGGTCGGAGTCGTATCTCCCGCCAGGAGGCCCGCCACCAGCTTTCTCTTCTCCGCCTCCGGCATGCGGCCGTACCGGATCGCTGGGAACAACCAGGAAAACCCCTATCAGTGTACATCCATAAATTGGGGATACTCACAGATAGGGTACATCCCTGACTTTCTCTAAAGTAAAAATGTGGGAATGGAAAGGTGATCAGTGTGTCTCACCATCGTGGGACATGCCTAGCAGCAGGCACTTCTGGAAGCGACAGTACTGGCACTTGTTCCTGCTCTTCTTCTGGATCTTACAGCTGCGCTCACAGCGCTCATACTCCAGCTTCATACGGATGGTCCGCCGGAAAAACCCCTGAGAGAAAGAGTAAGCAGAGGGGTGGAAGAAAAAAAAGTGTTTATTAGATATCAATTATTAGATGTAAATTAATAGATATAAAGAGCAGCAGATTTGATTGGAAATGTGAAAAGTTCATGAATTATGCAATGAACTGCTCCAAAACATTGTGTAACACATCTGGGAGTCTCCTGGGATGTCCCCATCCCTTCCCTCTGCTTCCTCACCTTGCAGCCTTCACAGGCGTGTACTCCGTAGTGGAACCCCGAGGCTTTGTCTCCACAGATCCGACATTCCACGTTGATCCCGGCCCCAGTCCCTTCCTCTCGACCCAGGAAGAGCTGGTCCGACAGCGATGGAGACGACGTCTGGGACAGATCTGGAGATGGAAAGACAGACAGGGGGAGGTTCTGTTATTATAGGATATTTTCTGAGTTTAACTAGGGACCGGAGTTTGTCCTGATCACATGACCAGACAAGGAACATTTCCTCCTCATATAAATGTACTAGTATTATATTTTGGACTACTGAAAGGTCCAATAACTCATATTTCACAATCCACATAAACATGTGTAATATGAAAGCATTGAATGCATTTCTCTGTAATACTGGAATGACCATAAAGAGCTGAACGTAAGATAAGGATGAGACTGGAGTCAAGACTACAAATTAAAAAGTTATTGTTGGTGCCACCAGTCTGGACAGTCAGTTGGGTTTTTCTATGGCTCTGGGTATGACTGGGCTATATGTCAATTTACCAACAATACCTCAAAGATATTATGTATATGTGCAATGTGAGCTGTGCGTGCACGTGTGTGCTTATGTGCATGTTTCTTATACGTGCAAGCGTGTCAGGAATCTGCCCAGTGCTGGTGAGTTCCAGCCAGTTCCCTCCCTGGGGTTTGATATCTGCTGCTGCCTGCCAAAGGGTTCTCCCAATGGAGCCTAGGAGGGATATTCTGTTTTAAGAATTTGGAACAGAGTGCTGTTCTATCCACTCCATAGAACTAGAGTAGGTAGGAGGGACAATCCACTTCAATGTAACCATGTTAGAACCATGTTATGGGTGTTCTATTCTATCTGTTCTAATTCTAGGATAAAAACCTGAGAGCTGCGCTGCTAGGCTAGGCCAGGATGAAAGCATGGGAAACCCAACACAGCCGGGGCAGGCAACATAGAGCCACACAGCGAGAGAGTGAGTTTCTCTGTGTGTGGGAGAGGCCTAGGCCCCTGAAGAATTTATCACGAGGAGAAGTAACACCGCAAGAGCAGACTGACCGAAACCAGCCGAGGTGGTGCTCCATGCCTCCATGACCACTTCCCTCTCAATTCATCTCTCCTTGCCTCCTTCCCAAAACCCATTGGAGAAGAGGGTGAGAAGGGAGGGACCTTGGGTCTTCTCCAAGAAGGCTTAGAAGGAGGCGAGGACAGAGGATGCAAAGAATTGAGAAAGAGCCATAGTGTGCATGCGTGTCAGTCACTCCAACACTAGGTTTTGATGACAGGGAATTCAGTCCACTTGCTTTTCTATTTGTATAACCTAGATTCTGCTTACCGCCATTAAACGTGAAGCCCTTGATTGCCACCTTAATATGCCTCCTTTGCATTTTTTTTTACAAAAGTCACATGCAGGACACACCCGGTGAGTAGCTCTGGTGTTGTTTTCTATCTCCAGTGTTCCCCCCCCCACTGTCATCACTTAAAGGGGCCATCAGCAGTTGCTACATCCATTTCTTGACCAATTATATATACCCACTGATTCCCGAAGAATATTATAAATGACTCATGAGCTTAGTTTAACTGTCATATCCCATCAGAAACCAAAATATAAGCTTGTTTTACTCCAATGTTTGTAAACAAAGCAAATGTAAACAAACTCTATATAGCCTCAAAACATGGATAAACTATAATTTTGATATCATGGATGGTCAGTCTTTGCATCCATAGCTCAGTCTATGAATTTGAGAGAGGTAACATTCTACCAGTCCCATCCTTCAGCTTTTCACCGAAACAGGGAGTACACTTTGTTATTGTTTCTACTGCTGATTGCCGCTTTAAGCATGGTGGTTGCCTGTTGCCCACCACCTGAGAAGAGTGTTATTAGTGTCAGTGGCAAAGTTGCGTGACAAGAGTCTGTTGCCGTGGTGTGACAGAGTCTGTCGCCGTGGTGTGACAGAGCCTGTCGCCGTGGTGTGACAGAGCCTGTCGCCGTGGTGTGACAGAGCCTGTCGCCGTTTCGAGAGGAACACTAGATGTTGCTTGTCTGCAGCGATACGGTTTACCTGAAGCCCAGGTACCGTGTGTAATACATTGATCAGTAAGAAACTAAAAAGCCTAATAGAGCGTGGTGTAGTCGGACTCATTCTCAATGTTTACGGAAAAAACCCTTAACCGAAAGACCTCAACTGGCCTGACCTTTGTACTAGACCACAGCCTATCCACACTCTGGTTCCTTTGCGAATTCTCCCACCTGCCAAGGCAAACACAAGCATAGCTTTACTGACCAGAGTGGAAAATGTAGGTAGGCAGAGCTGGGAGAGGAGGTCAAATCTGACCGGATTGTAGGAAATAGAAACTTATCCTATACTGGAGAAAACAGGAAAGAATGTATACATAGCCCTCTAGACCAGGGTTTCCCAAACAAGGTTTCTCCTTCCATTACTTCCAGACCTCCACCTAGTTCTGTTGCAGCAACCATGGAGGATGTCTCAGGGGCCACTGGTGGAGGACACAGTGGTTACAGTAGCTGGCTGGTCTAACTGTGGTTGGTCTGATTGCTCTGATTGAGAGCAGCTCAATGTGAACACCATCAGAGCCCTTTAAATGGGACACACTGAACTGCTCCATGTACTGAGGGTGTTTGTGGGTAAGTGTGCATGCGTATGTAACTGCGCATGTGTGTGTGCGTATGTGTGGAAGTGGACTAGAGATAACGATCTATCTGCCGTTAAACAAACACAAACAGCCAGGCAGCGCTCCGTATCAAAGGGTATCTGTATCTGTAGAAGTCAACGGCCCTCTCACAAGGACACAAGGCTTGCCATTCTAAAGCCGTTTGTTGATGAGATCTAGGCCTGCAAATTAAGTTAAGGCTACTTGCCAAACTTTGGTTTATAAGCTAGGCTGTGTCAAGGTTGTGAAGAGGAGTATGGTAAAGTACATTGAGATAGTTTTTTTAAATAAAGTTTGATTTTATTAGTTTTATTTACCCTGTTCGAGCCATCACAGCTGGGTATGAAACATGTAGGCCCAACTCAAATCAGTGTCAAGGGAAACCAGATTTAACATTGGGGAGTCTTTTCTGAGTAGCTCCATGTGTTATGTGAGTGTGTTATGTGAGAAGAAATTGTTGCACAGTCTTTGGACCTCCTGTGAGGATTTCAGGATTTCATTATCATGACTTAGCAAAGTGACTCTTCTTCTCACCACAATGATCTCAATGGAGAATTCACTGTTGTAATGTAATAGTCATATAAAGCCCTCTCTTTACAGGCATTGTCACATCAGCCCGTGACTGACTGGTCACACTGTAGGTGTTGTCCTCCATGTGCCTTACTTCAACAGCAAATTTCACACAAATCTGAGTATGCATAATGTCCCCGATTCCGACCCGAGTTAAGCGTACGTAAAAGGAACGTATTTGCATTTTTATGCACTTTTCTCTTTATGCGTATTCTAACCTAGAACTTAAGAATGAGAATCTGAGAGTCTGAATACCAAATACTGAGAAGTGCGTAGGAAAGGCGTAAATTCCTAAGTCGGAATCTGCCCCTACGTTTTTTACTGGAAAACAATGACAGGCTACTGAGCACCACTTTTCTCTTGGGGAGTATAAATACAGACAAAATGGAGGTAAAGGCCGACTGTACAGTGAAAACAGTTCTAGATTGCGGCATTGAGTTCTAGATCAGCACACCAAGTTCTAGATCAAAATCATATTTTATTTTTCACATGCTTCGAAAACAGGTGTAAACTTAGTGAAATGCTTACTCACAGGTCCTTTTCCAACAATGCTGAGTGAAAGATATATATTAACACAGTGAATAACGAATAACAATAACGAGTAAAAATAACATAGCTATATACAGTGAGTACCAGTACCGAGTTGATGTGCAGGCATTCAGGTAACTGAGGTAGCTATGTACATACAGACTGAGTGTACAAAACATTATGAACATTATGCTCTTTCCATGACATAGACTGACCAGGTGAATCCAGGTGAAAGCTATGATCCCTTATTGATGTCACTTGTTAAATCCACTTCAAATCAGTCTAGATGAAGGGGAGGAGACCAGGTTAAAGAAGGAGTTTAAGCCTTGAGAATATTGAGACATGGATTGTGTATGTGTGCCATTCAGAGGGTGAATGGGCAAGACAAAATATTTAAGTGCCTTTGTATGGGGTATGGTAGTAGTTGCCAGGTGCACTGGTTTGTGTGTCAAGAACTGCAACGCTACGGTGTTTTTCACGCTCAACAGTTTCCCGTGTGTATCAAGAATGGCCCACCACCCAAAGGACATCCAGCCAACTTGACATCTGTGGGAAGCATTGGAGTCAACATGGGCCAGAATCCCTGTGGAACGCTTTCGACATCTTGTAGAGTCCATGCCTCGACAAATTGAGCCTGTTTTGAGGGCAAAAGGAGGGGGTGCAACTCAATACTAGGAAGGTGTTCTTAATGTTTTGTACACTTAGTGTAGGTAGGCGTAAAGTGAGTAGGCAACAGGATAGATAATAGACAGCAGCGTATGTGGTGAGTGTGAAAGTCTATGTGTGAGTATGTGAGATCAAAACACAGAACTCGACCCCTGGGCTCTAGATCCGAACACTGAGTTCTAGGTCCGGACACTGAGTTCTAGGGCTGGGAATTGCCAGAGACCTCATGATACGATATTATCCAGGGTTTTTTCTGGATCAAAAAGGGGCTTAGGTGGTGGGTGTGGCAATTAAAACATATTTCTCATGTATGCTGCCGAGGGACAAGAGAGTGCCATCAGTCATGTACAGTGAGGGGAAAAAAGTATTTGATCCCCTGCTGATTTTGTATGTTTGCCCACTGACAAAGACATGATCAGTCTATAATTTTAATGGCAGGTTTATTTGAACAGTGAGAGACAGAATAACAACAAAAAAATCCAGAAAAACGCATGTCAAAAATGTTATGAATTGATTTGCATTTTAATGAGGGAAATAAGTATTTGACCCCCTCTCAATCAGAAATATTTCTGGCTCCCAGGTGTCTTTTATACAGGTAACGAGCTGAGATTAGGAGCACACTCTTAAAGGGAGTGCTCCTAAGCTCAGCTTGTTACCTGTATAAAAGACACCTGTCCACAGAAGCAATCAATCAGATTCCAAACTCTCCACCATGGCCAAGACCAAAGAGCTCTCCAAGGATGTCAGGGGCAAGATTGTAGACCTACACAAGGCTGGAATGGGCTACAAGACCATCGCCAAGCAGCTTGGTGAGAAGGTGACAACAGTTGGTGCGATTATTCGCAAATGGAAGAAACACAAAATAACTGTCAATCTCCCTCGGCCTGGGGCTCCATGCAAGATCTCACCTCCTGGAGTTGCAATGATCATGAGAACGGTGAGGAATCAGCCCAGAACTACACGGGAGGATCTGGTCAATGATCTCAAGGCAGCTGGGACCATAGTCACCAAGAAAACAATTGGTAACACACTACGCAGTGAAGGACTGAAATCCTTCAGCGCCCGCAAGGTCCCCCTGCTCAAAAAAGCACATATACAGGCCCGTCTGAAGTTTGCCAATGAACATCTGAATGATTCAGAGGAGAACTGGGTGAAATTGTTGTGGTCAGATGAGACCAAAATCGAGCTCTTTGGCATCAACTCAACTCGCCGTGTTTGGAGGAGGAGGAATGCTGCCTATGACCCCAAGAACACCATCCCCACCGTCAAACATGGAGGTTGAAACATTATGCTTTGGGGGTGTTTTTCTGCTAAGGGGACACGGACAACTTCACCGCATTAAAGGGACGATGGACGGGGCCATGTACCGTCAAATCTTGGGTGAGAACCTCCTTCCCTCAGCCAGGGCATTGAAAATGGGTCGTGGATGGGTATTCCAGCATGACAATGACCCAAAACACACGGCCAAGACAACAAAGGAGTGGCTCAAGAAGAAGCACATTAAGGTCCTGGAGTGGCCTAGCCAGTCTCCAGACCTTAATCCCATAGAAAATCCGTGGAGGGAGCTGAAGGTTCGAGTTGCCAAACGTTAGCCTCGAAACCTTAATGACTTGGAGAAGATCTGCAAAGAGGAGTGGGACAAAATCCCTCCTGAGATGTGTTTAAACCAGGTGGCCAACTACAAGAAACGTCTGACCTCTGTGATTGCCAACAAGGGTTTTGCCACCAAGTCCTAAGTCATGTTTTGCAGAGGGGTCAAATACTTATTTCCTGGAGTGGCCTAGCCATTCTCCAGACCTTAAGCCAGGGGTGTCAAACTCAATTTAGCTCAGGGGCCACATGGAGGAAAATCTATTCCCAAGTGGGCCGGACCGGTAAAATCATGGTATATATATAACTTAAAAACAACAACTTCAGATTGTTTTCCTTGTTTTAATACGATCAACATAAAACATAAAGCTGGAGCCTGAGGACAGTGTGTCCAAAATAGTACAAGCACAACATCACTATTAATCATAAAACACCAAGTTTATTTGAAAATTCTAAAGAAAAAGAACACAAACACACAATGCCTCAGTGATTCACAGAACTGTTTCACAGATCACAGAACTATATCAGGGTGTCATTTCTCAGGCAGAAATTTAGATAAAAATAATGAAATCCTGTTCCCCAAACAAGTGCAAGAACCACAGAGTCAAGAATAGGTTAAATATACAAATCAAATCAAAATCAATTAAAAACAAAAGCACATCAACATAAAAACATAAAGCTGGAGCCTGAGGACAGTGTGTCCAAAAGCACAACATCACTATTAATCATAAAACCCCTCAAGTTATTTGAAAATTCTGAGGACAAAGAACACACAAACACACAATGCCTCAGTGATTCACAGAAGTATATCACAGATCACAGAACTATATCAGGGTGTCTCATGCAGCACTTTAAGTGGGGTTGCATAGTTTTTGACTCCTGATACCTGGCATCTTTTAGCTTTCACCAGCGCATCCAACTTCAGGATGTGATTCAAGTGCTTGTGCGTGAGCCTTGAGCGCAGCTTTGTTTTATTTATGCTCATTACAGAGAAAACTTGCTCACAAAGATATGTGGTTCCAAACATGCACAACAGTTTTGCAGTGAGGGCTGTCAAGTTGGGGTAACCTGGCAAGAGATTCTGATAAAATGTGTCCAAGCCAGCTGCGGAAAATTTTCCCTTCAGATCCGAGTCACACTGCAAGTCTATTATTTCAAGTTGGATGCTGACGGGCAGATCAGAGGGATTCACGGTGAATGGCGAGCAAAAATCTTTGAAGTCTTTCTCCAGTTCACCATAAATATGAAAGCGTTGCTCAAACTTCCGTAACAGTCCCGTTATTTTATCTTTGAACCGCTTCATGTCTGCCACATGTTGGGTCGCGCACACATTTTTCAGACAGGGGAAGTGAGCTGCATCACCACCGGCGAGTTGCGTCTCCCACAATGACAGCTTCAACTTGAAAGAACGTATGCTGTCATAATACTGCGTGACAACTTTGTTGCGCCCTTGTAGCTGTTTGTTCAAGTTATTCAGGTGCTCTGTAACATCCACCATAAATGCAAGGTCCTAGGTCCTGCATCCATTCTGCGGAATTAAATTCTAACACTGGTTTGCCCTTTTCTTCCATGAACTGTTCAATTTCTTCTCGTAAATCAAAGAAACGCCTCAGCACAGCACCTCGGCTTAACCATCTTACCTCAGTGTGGTATGGCAGGCCATAGATGTGGTCTTTCTCTCTGAGAAGGCTGTCAAACTGACGGTGATTCAGGCTTCCGGATCGGATGAAATTAACAGTTTGGATGACCACCTTCATGACGTTATCCATCTTTAATGACTTGCAACACAAAGCCTCCTGGTGCAAAATACAGTGAATAGTCCAAAAATCATGTCCTCCATTTGCAGATTGCACTTTCTCTGAACTTTGTCACAACGTCTGCTTTTTCCCGATCATTAAGGGCGCACCATCTGTAGCCAGGCTGACAGCGCGGGACCAGTCCACTCCGACCCTGTCCAGCGTGCCGACGAGTGCGGTGAAAATATCAGCTGCTGTCGTTGTATCTGTCATCGGCACCAACTCCACAAACTCCTCTGTGACGGTTAATGTGTCATCAACTCCGCGGATGAAAATGGCCAGTTGTGCAACATCTGTAACGTCCGTGCTTTCATCAATTGCAACCTAAAATGCAATAAATGACTTTACTTTTTGCTTCAACTGGCTGTCCAAATCCACTGAAAGATCGGAAATCCTGTCTGCAACTGTGTTTCTTGTCAGGCTGATATTTGCAAAAGCCTGGCGCTTTTCAGGGCACACAATCTCCGCTGCCTTCATCATGCATGTTTTTACAAATTCACCCTCACTAAATTGTTTTGAAGCCACTGCGATTTCATTAGCAATGAGGTAGCTAGCTTTCACTGCAGCGTCACTGCTGTCTCTGCTGTGAGTAAAACACAGACTGCTGTTTCTTCAGACCCGCCAACAGTTCATTCACCTTCTCTCTTCTCCGCTGTCCTTGAAAGTTGTCATATTTGTCGGCATGAAGACTCACATAGTGGCGACGAAGGTTATATTCTTTCAGCACTGCAACATGCTGTGAACACACCAAACATACAGCTTTCCCATTCAATTCCGTGAATAAATAGGAGGATGACCATTTTTCTTGGAACACTCTGCATCCACTTTTCTCTTTTTTGACAGAGACATATTGGGGCAATGAGGGTGCCTAAGCACATAATGTTAAAAGTAGAAGCCGTAATAAATATCGCGGGCAAAACAAAGTAGCTCATCCGGACTGGCTGCACTTGCTTGACCTACTTGCTCTGCCCCGGTATAAACAGTTTGCTTGCTTAACACAATTGCTATTGCGCCATCCAGTGGACGCAATTGGAACAGCAGTTCATTTTATTGAAAAATTGCAGCTCATTTTTATACTTTACAAAATCATCTCGCGGGCCGGATTAAACCCGTTTGCGGGCCTGATCTGGCCCGCGGGCCGGACGTTTGACACCCCTGCCTTAAGCCCATAGAAAATCTGTGGAGGGAGCTGAAGGTTCGAGTTGCCAAACGTCAGCCTCGAAACCTTAATGACTTGGAGAAGATCTGCAAAGAGGAGTGGGACAAAAATCCCTCCTGAGATGTGTGCACACCTGGTGGCCAACTACAAGAAACATCTGACCTCTGATTGCCAACAAGGGTTTTGCCACCAAGTACTAAGTCATGTTTTGCAGAGGGGTCAAATACTTATTTCCCTCATTAAAATGCAAATCAATTTATAACATTTTTGACATGCATTTTTCTGGATTTTGTTGTTGTTATTCTGTCTCTCACTGTTCAAATAAACCTACCATTAAAATTAAAGACTGATCATGTCTTTGTCAGTGGGCAAACGTACAAAATCAGCAGAGGATCAAATACTTTTCCCTCACTGTAAATAAAAGTGCTGAAAACAGATTTGACGATATATCATTTAGTTTTGGTCTAGTTTGCTGTACCTGCACCAAAACTTCAGTATTTTTAATTCATAGCTTGTTTCCCACCTTTAAAAAAATTATAATGAGGCTATGAATGAAAAATACTGGAGTTTTGGTGCAGGTACAGCAAACTAAAACAAAAACAATATTGCAATAGTCAAAACTATACGATATAACGTCAAAAATAATATCCCGATACGCGTCAGAACACAGTTCTACACTGAACAAAAATATAAACGCAACATGCAACAATTTCAAAGATTTTGTTCATAAAAGGAAATCAGTCCATTTAAATTAATTAGGCCCTAATCTATGGATTTCACATGACTGGGAATACAGACATGAAACTGTCGGTCACCGATACCTTAAAAAAAGTAAGTAGGAGCATGGATCAGAAAACCAGTCAGTATCTGGTGTGATCACCATTTGCCTCACGCAGCGCAACACATCACCTTCGCATAGAGTTGATCAAGCTGTTGATTGTGGCCTGTGGAATGTTGTCCCCACTCCTCTTCAATGGCTGTGTAAAGTTGCTGGAAATTGGCAGGAACTGGAACACCCTGACATACACATAAATCCAGAGCATCCCAAACATGCTCAATGGGTGACATGTCTGGAGTATGCAGACCATAGAAGAACTGGGTCATTTTCAGATTCCAGGAATTGTACAGATCCTTGCGACATAGGGCCGTGCATTATCGATAAAATGCAATTGTATTCGTTGTCCGTAGCTTATGCCTGCCCATACCATAACCCCACTGCCACAATGGGGCACGCTCTGGTGGACATTCCTGCAGTAGCATGCCAATTGAACACTCCCGCAAAAATTCAGACATCTGTGGCATTGTGTTGTGTGACATAACTGCACGTTTTAGTGGTCTTCATTGTCCCCAGCACAAGGTGCACCTGTGTAATGATCATGCCGTTTAATCAGCTTCTTGATATGCCACATCTGTTAGGTGGATGGATTATCTTGGCAAAGGATAAATGCTCACTAACAGGGAAGTAAACAAATAAACTCAGCAAAAAAAGAAACGTCCCTTTATCAGGACCCTGTCTTTCAAAGATAATTTGTAAATATCAAAATAACTTCACAGATCTTCATTGTTTCCCTTGCTTGTTCAATGAACCATACACAATTAAATGAACATGCACCTGTGGAACGGTCGTTAAGACACTAACAGCTTACAGACGGCAATTAAGGTCACAGTTATGAAAACTTAGGACACTAAAGAGGCCTTTCTACTGACTCTGAAAAACACCAAAAGAAAGATGCCCAGGGTCCCTGCTCATCTGCATGAACATGCCTAAGGCATGCTGCAAGGAGGCATGAGGACTGCAGATGTGGCCAGGGCAATAAATTGCAATGTCCGTACTGTGAGACGCCTAAGACAGCGCTACAGGGAGACAGCTGATCGTCCTCGCAGTGGCAGACCACGTGTAACAACACCTGCACAGGATCGGTACATCCGTACATCACACCTGTGGGACAGGGACAGGATGGCAACAACTGCCCAAGTTACACCAGGAACGCACAATCCCTCCATCAGTGCTCAGACTGTCCACAATAGGCTGAGAGAGGTTGGACTGAGGGCTTGTAGGCCTGTTGTAAGGCAGGTCCTCACCAGACATCACCGGCAACAACGTCGCCTATGGGCACAAACCCACCGTCGCTGGACCAGACAGGACTGGCAAAAAGTGCTCTTCACTGACGAGTTGCGGTTTTGTCTCACCAGGGGTGATAGTCGGATTCGTGTTTATCGTCGAAGGAATAAGCGTTACACCGAGGCCTGTACTCTGGAGCGGCATCATCGGACTGAGCTTGTTGTCATTGCAGGCAATCTCAACACTGTGCGTTACAGGGAAGACATCCTCCTCCCTCATGTGGTACCCTTCCTGCAGGCTCATCCTGACATGACCCTCCAGCATGACAATGCCACCAGCTATACTGCTCATTCTGTGCGTGATTTCCTGCAAGACAGGAATGTCAGTGTTCTGCCACGGCCAGCGAAGAGCCCGGATGTCAATCCCATTGAGCACGTCTGGGACCTGTTGGATCGGAGGGTGAGGGCTAGGGCCATTCCCCCCCAGAAATGTCTGGGAACTTGCAGGTGCCTTAGTGGATGAGTGGGGTAACATCTCACAGCAAGAACTGGCAAATCTGGTGCAGTCCATGAGGAGGAGGAGGTGCACTGCAGTACTTAATGCAGCTGGTGGCCACACCAGATACTGACTTACTTTTGACCCCCCCCTTTCTTCAGGGACACATTATTCAATTTCTGTTAGTCACATTTTTTTTATGTCTCAGTTGTTGAATCTTGTTATGTTCATACAAATATTTACACGTTAAATTTGCTGAAAATAAACGCAGTTGACAGTGAGAGGATGTTTCTTTTTTTGCTGAGTTTATGTGCACAAAATTTGAGAGAAATAAGGTTTTTGTGCACATGGAACATTTCTGGGATCTTTTATTTCAGCTCATGAAACTTCGGACCAACAGTTTACATGTTGCGTTTATGGTGCAACGTGGCGTTGGTGGATGGAGCGAGACATGATGTCCCAGATGTGCTCAATTGGATTCAGGTCTGGGGAACGGGCGGGCCAGTCCATAGCATCAATGCCTTCCTCTTGCAGGAACTGCTGACACACTCCAGCCACATGAGGTCTAGCATTGTCTTGCATTAGGAGGAACCCAGGGCCAACCGCACCAGCATATGGTCTCACAAGGGGTCTGAGGATCTCATCTCGGTACCTAATGGCAATCAGGCTACCTCTGGCGAGCACATGGAGGGCTGTGCGGCCCCCCAAAGAAATGCCACCCCGCACCATGACTGACCCACCGCCACACTGGTCATGCTGGAGGATGTTGCAGGCAGCAGAATGTTCTCCACGGCGTCTCCAGACTCTGTCACGTCTGTCACGTGCTCAGTGTGAACCTGCTTTCATCTGTGAAGGGCACAGGGCGCCAGTGGCGAATTTGCCAATCTTGGTGTTCTCTGGCAAATGCCAAACGTCCTGCACGGTGTTAGGCTGTAAGCACAACCCCCACCTGTGGATGTCGGGCCCTCATACCACCCTCATGGAGTCTGTTTCTGACCGTTTGAGCAGACACATGCACATTTGTGGCCTGCTGGAGGTCATTTTGCAGGGCTCTGGCAGTGCTCCTCCTTGCACAAAGGCGGAGGTAGCAGTCCTGCTGCTGGGTTGTTGCCCTCCTACTGCCTCCTCCACGTCTGCTGGTGTACTGGCCTGTCTCCTGGTGGCGCCTCCATGCTCTGGACACTACGCTGACAGACACAGCAAACCTTCTTCCCACAGCTCGCATTGATGTGCCATCCTGGATGAGCTGCACTACCTGAGCCACTTGTGTGGGTTGTAGACTCCATCTCATGCTACCACTAGAGTGAAAGCACCGCCAGCATTCAAAAGTGACCAAAACATCAGCCAGGAAACATAGGAACTGAGAAGTGGTCTGTGGTCACCACCTGCAAGACCAGTCCTTTATTGGGGGTGTCTTGCTTTTGTTCAGTACACATCGGAACATTGAGTTCTAGATTGGAACACAGTTATTTCAAGTCAACAAGGGGACTCACTAGTTATAGGAGCCATGTCTAAAAGTAAACACTTTACTGTGCGAGTATAAATAGAGTGAAATGTGATGCTGTGTGTTCGTACTATAAGAACACCCCTGTCATTGGCTGATCAACACAGACGTAGCACACATGGTGAAACATTTCACTAATCATCATCAACTAGTATAACGTTTATGATACTGTCCACAGTATTTCAATTGTGTGAGTGTGTATGTGTCTCTCTCACCTGTGCAGCTGCTGGAGGGGGCAGGGCTGTTACTACTCCCCTTCTTCTGTTTCTGGTTCTCCTCCTCTTTCTCCTGCTGCTGCGCCTCGTCGTCCTGAGAGTCCATGTCCCAGGAGCAAAGGCCATCCTCCCCCTCAGGTGACACCTCCGCTCCTCGCTCCCCCTCAGTCTCCCATTTACCCAGCCCCTTCAGCAGTGGGCGTGGTTTCAGTTCCTTCAAGGCTGACTCCGGCTCCCTCTCGCCGTCCGAGGTGCGCTCCCCATGTGGGGAGGTGGTCCTGTTCTGGCAGACCCCCCCCTTCCTTACCGGACCCCCGACACGCCGCTTCCGATCCCGCCGAGGGGCGTCGCTTCTGACCGGCGCCAAGATGGCGGCCCTGGTGCCCTCCATGGCGCTGTGTGGCTTCTCCCCTGACTCTCAGCCACCCTCGGTCATGGCGCCACCATTCCCGCCCTGCTGGTGAGGAGGGGAACAGCCAGTTAGTACAGATCTGTTACAGATTAGTTACAGGAATGATTTATTCCAAATTGGTGGTGGTTCAGGAGGATACATTGGTGTGTTGCAATCAAATCAGAGCTGTTCTCACAGAATACAGTGACTGTCCAATCGGAATGCCTTTTACAAATCGAGACATCCAATTAGATCCATGAAACACTTCTCTCCAGTTAAAACAACACATTGTGAGATGATGAAAGGCTTCCATGTAACAGTGTAACAGGCACAGTCTCTTGTGGAAACACTTGTCAGAAGAGGCTTTGACCTGGTTCCATTCAACAGGCCCCTCCAAAGCTGAGACAGCTTCACCCAGTGCACCTCCAACCCAGAGAGATAGAACAGCCTCCCCCACAGAGACACAGCATATGGGCCAGGTTAGAGGTCTCCGATGCGGGCCTGGAGTTGGCCTGCTGCAGATGAGAGCCAGCTGTTAAACTCTAAATGACTGTAATTGATCCAGCTAACCACTAACAGAGAGAGGGAGTTAAAAAAATGGGGTGGGGGGGAGAGAGCGAGCGAGAGGAGTATGCAACAAAAAAATAATGCACCGACACACACGCAGTGTAACTTCTGAGGCTTTGTGTACCAGATAGGGAGGAGATATGCGTGAGAAAAACACACACACACACACAGTGAGTAAGCTAGCCTCCAGGTCCCAGCACGTGTGGGCCATGGGGCAGGCAAGGCTGGTGTTTTTCTACAGACACCTGTTGTTGGGAGGGAGCGCACAATGTCTGGGTGTCTGGTGTTGTCTGAGCTGAAGACGCTCTGCGTGCTGCGTGTGTGTGTGTGTAGGGACGCTCTGCTCTTTGGATCAGCCAGCGCCACTGACCTTTCCCCACATTCCCCACTTTCTACTGAACAGCCATGCACTTTCCCCCACTGGCCTTCGGTGGTTGTTTCTGTGTGTGTGTCTGCCAAGTAGAAATAGGGTTCAAGGGAACAGAGGCTGTAGGGCTGATTTCATGTGGGATCACCAAGTTTATCAATCTGGTGCATTTAGAAGAGGGAAGAGAGAATACACTAGAGCCACGGAATTTAAAACGCCTCCGCTCTGTACAACATACACTCACTCCAGAACAGCCTGAATTCTTTGAGGAATGGATTTTACAAGGTGTCAAAAATGTCCGTTGCTCAATTGGTATCAAGGGACCTAACGTGCCAGGAAAACATTCCCCACACCACCACCACCAGCCTGTACCAGGCAGGTTGGGTCCATGGAAGCAACAGGAACCAGGATTCGTTAGACCAGGTGATATTTTTCCACTCCTCAATTGTCCAGTGTTGGTGATCGTGTGCCCACTGGAGCCGCTTCTTCTTGTTTTTAGCTGATAGGAGTGGAACCCGGTGTCGTCGTCTGCTGCAATAGCCCATCCGTGACAAGGATCGACGAGTTGTGCGTTCCGAGATGCCATTCTGCACACCACTGTTGTACTGCGCCGTTAATTGTCCGTTTGTGGCCCGCCTGTTAGCGTGCATGATTCTTGCCATTCTCGTTCGACCTCTCTCATCAACAAACTGTTTTCGACCACAGGAATGCCGCTGACTGGATGTTTTTTGTTTGTCGCACCATTCTCAGTAAACCCTAGACAACGTTGTGCGTGAAAAGCCCAGGAGGGCGGACGTTTCTGAGATACTGGATTTGGAGCGCCTGGCACCGACGATCATACCACGCTCCAAGTTGCTTAGGTCACCTGTTTTGCCCATTCTAAAATGTTATTGAACAGTAACAATGCCTTGATGCCTGGTTGCCTGCTTTATATAGCAAGCCACGGCCACGACTCACTCACTGTAGGAGCAAACCATTTTCGTGAATGGGGTGGTGTACCTAATAAAACAGTAAAAAAGCAAAAAAGCAAGTGCCATTTAAGATTAATTTATTGAAACCGTAATATCAACTGTTCTATTATATTGTGGAACACAATCTTAAAAACGCAGTAACCTCAGCAGCAGTGCTTTCTTGTAGAAGCCTATGGCTGTGCAATGGCATAGCCTTGTTTTGTTAATTTAACAGACATATGCTCTTATTTCCCTAGCCATTATAACAGTCAAGACACTTATTTTATAGTAAAAACAACATGAAATATAACAGAATAAAATAGAACAGACTATTTTTCCAAATGAAAAAAGTTGCCAGTGCGAAGTGATGCGCATTTCGTGCATCGAACAGTTATTATCAAAGAGTAATAATTTGAAACGGGGCTCAATTTGGTGAGTTGAAAGACAATTCTTTCAGGGTTACAAACCAAAATATGCCGTCTTTTCAATATACAGATGTTGGATTTAGTTTATTCTGCCTGTTGTTTGTCATTTTCAAAATGGATGAACAATTCCACATGGTGATTAATTCCGGCAGCGACATCCGTTTATTTGTGCATATTTTCAGTGTGGAACCTATCTATGTTTAGGGGGGTTATAGCCTAGGCTACCCAATTCTCAATGGCACTAGCAGTTCACAAAGTAGCTCAATTGAAAAATAGACTGGATGCAATTATTCCATAACTGCAGCTCATTGTTGGAATACATATTTGCCTACTTCCATCAACCAGTCCATTTTGAATTTGTGATAAAACTCTCGTCATTTGGCAAGGAATATTTGGCTTGTATATCCCATCAGATAGGTTTTTATAGGCATTTATTTCTGTAGGCCTAACGGGAGCTTGTGTGCGCTCTCCGAACGCGTGTGTGAAAGGAGCAGTCGGAACGCAATTTAGTGAATGGGACACGGAGGGGAAAGGGAATTTAGAGAGAAGAACTGTGTTACGCTTGGCTTGTTTTCTTTTTTGTTGTGCCCCGCAAATGCACATGTACAAATGGAACACTAGAGCGAAAGCAAATTATGTTGTCTTCAAGACAAAATTTCACTTGCCCGTTCGGGCAGCTACAAAGCACATTCCACCAAATAGTTTTACAGTATAAAAAAAATAATTGATCTTTGGTTAAAGATCACCACTTCCTCAGGTGCTGAATAATAGCCTATAGGCCAATATGCACAAAGATGTCTGCAAATTCTCTGAAAAGCAAAAATAAATGTGATAAATCCTAGTTTGACAGGTTGCACATCAAAATATCAATTCCCTGGATATGTTATATGAAATAGCTTACTTTTGGAATCATACTTGGCACTGGAAAACAATTGTCTAGAGTCTGCCGCTAATGTAAAATATCGCCCAGCTCTACAATATAACCTGGTACTACATTTACATTTTAGTCATTTAGCAGACGCTCTTATCCAGAGCGACTTACAGGAGCAATTAGGGTTAAGTGCCTTGCTCAAGGGCACATTGACAGATTTTTCACCTAGTCGGCTCGGGGATTAGAACCAGCGACCTTTCGGTTACTGGCACAACGCTCTTAACCACTAAGCTACCTGCCGCCCTAGCTAGGGCCGGATGATACCAGTATCGCAATAGTCATTAGTATAGTGGCAAGGGAAACAGCCCTAATGTTGGAAACCAACATTATGTTGTCATCCAGAGTCACAGTTATTTGTTTCCCAAGCTATAGCACACAATATTTTACATAGAGCAGGTTTTTAAAGGACCAAAGCGTTTGGTCTGCTTTGTTTTTTCATTTTTGCCCTAAAAAAATATATTTCGATACTGATATTGTCCCGAACCTAGTACTAGCTATGCTACAAATAAACATCAGGACAATACACGGACCCAACAGCTAAAAGGATATCGATCCGGAGGAGAGCAGCTAGACGACGGAGGTGGGAGTAAGCACTGAGGGTTTATGTCATTGCACTGTCAGTGCAGGCATCTCGTGGGTCTTCACAATGACTTCAGATGATCAGTTGTGGTTTGCTGATATCACGCAGTCAGCACTGGTCGCCATCCTCTCCGTCAGATTACATTTTTTAAATTGAAAGGGCGGGAGTCAGGAGACGAGAGTAACCTCAGTAACCTCAGCACAACTATGCCCTGTAACGTTACTGCCTATTCACTCAATCTGCTGCCAGACAGGCTAATGGCAATACAGACGACAATATAACTACATAAACAAACTTGTAACTTCATAACTATCAGCTAGCTATATGTGAACCATAATAATCTAGCTAGCCAGCTAGTTTAACTGGCAAAAATGACCTTAAACTAATGTTATGCCAGGTAAATGATTAGCTGTCAATTATTTGTGGCTAGCTAGCTAGCTAGCAACTTGGTCCTATTGACTAACTATGGGCTTGCGACCTACGCACACTACAGTGAGTATTATAGGCAGGTAAACATGCTACAATTAACACGTATTTATTAACGCATCAAAATCAAATATTGAAGTCAGGCAAACATACGAGATGTGAATGGGCAACATTTCGTTCTAAAGTCTGAGTTTATCTTCTCTTGCTTCAGCTCAAATAATGAGTGACATTGATTAAGACATATTGCATCTTTTTTTATGTGGTTGCTTCATATTTCTGTGCATACTTCCCGTTGATGCTTGCATTGACGCATGCTTCGAAATGTGTACAAGCGGAGTACGCTTCTGAGAAGTGCCCTCCGTGCTCCGTTTTGCATACTTTGATTTGGACTCATACGCCTATTTGCGTGCTCTGAGCATAGTAGTAGTCATATTGAGAAACACCCTACGTATTTGAGACCGAAACGTTGGATGTCTATAGCCTATATCACGGTTAGAGATAATTCCAATATTCAAATAGTATGATGCATTTTTGTTGGTATTTTTTTACTTCCGTTTTTAACCTGAAAACTGCTGCGCGAGGGAGAGCGGCTGGCGCTCTATTGCTCAGTGTTAAAATAGGCCTATAATACTTTTTTCCTAGCAAAAATGTATTCAAGTATTCAAATACTAACGTCCGTTCGGATATTCAAATAACCGTGCACATCCCTAATAATGGTATTTCGCGAGTATACAGTGAGGGAAAAAAGTATTTG